GGGACGGGGCGGGAAGGCGCTGGCGGGGAGGGACGGGGAGCCAGCGCTGGCTGCTTGCCCCTGCTCCGCTCGCGCGCTTGCTCGCTCGGCCAACTGCGGCCTGCGGGGCCCGAGCAGCTGCTGGGGCTGGAGGTCCGCCGCGGCGGCCCGTCCTTGGCACGGGGGAGGGGAGCCAATAGCGGGAGGAAACTGGATCCCCGGGGATGGGGTAGGGATTTGCAGCTCGGTGGCACCGGAAACTAGTCTGGCCTTTTGGCCGGGAGGCTGCAAACTCTCGGGACCGGGTGCCTCTCGGAAGGCTGCGAGATAAACTTGCCGGCGCTCTTTCGTGGTGGCGGCGTGGTAACCTTTATGTCCTTGGCCAGCAGCGCCCTTAGGGGATCCAGCTTGTTAGTGTAGGGTCCGTGTCAGAGCTGGGCTGTGTATTGTGCTCCTGAAGTTTCTGTGTCTCCTACCAAAGGGTGAGAGGGGGAAGAAGAACTTCAGAAACTGAGTTGCAAATGGAAGGCGATAATGAGAGATTTCTTTAACTTTAGTGAAAAAACGTCGCCGCCTTGGCACCCTGTCCTTGAAGTTAAAGAATATTTAGCCTTCTCATTTTTGATTGCCTGACAATCTTGTGATGAAAATTGAGTGTCAGGTTAAAACAGTTTTGTAAGAAGAAGCAGTTTAATCCAAATTTTTCTGCCTTCTGGCTTTTCTTTATATTCTGGTATCAGCCAAAGCAGTGACAGTTTGGAAAATTTGAATATTGTGAGTGTAACAATTAAAAATACAACTTGGAAATGTAAGAACTCTTTGTTAGAGGATAGACGTCTTGCAAATTCGGTCAAGAATGAACAATACTTTTTAAAGTTCAGTAAATGGTGTGTGTTATTTTATTGTAGAAATTGATAGCTTTTGTAGTCTTGTAACAAGCTGTGTCCTCCCTCAGTATAAATTGAAGTGCAAAATTTGAGACTCAGTAATTTTGAAAGTTGGAAAAGTAGAGGAAAGCAAAACATGCAGTTATAAAGAACATGCCGAGCGGAGGCGGCACAGGCACACTCCGTTAATCCCAGCACTGGGGAGGCAGAGGACAGCCAGGACTACACACAGAAATGCTGTCTTGGACCCCACGAGTAAGTGTAATTCACAGAGTGCACACGGTGTGAAGTATTAAGCAAATGGTCTTGGCTGGAGTTGTTACTCTATGGTAGAAAGCTTGTCTAGCATACCTGAATTAGTGGGTTGGGTTTCCAGTGCTAATAATAAATGCTCTTAATAGTTAAATGTATAGTTGGTCGTTGTGAATTGATTCCTTGAGGGGCCTGGGAGTGTCCCCAATAACCCTTCACTATCAAGGAAATTAAGTGGTGTAAACACAAATCCAGAGAGTGGAGACCCATCGCTCAGTGATAAAGACCTGACAGTGACCAAGTTTGGATCCCCAGGGACTCACCCACGTGGTGGAAGGAGAGAACTGACTCAAGTTATCCTTTGATCTCTACATTTGTACAGACACAACACAAAGTAATTGTGAGAAAAACTCTCCCCCACCCCGCCCCCCACTCCAGGCTTCTCTGTGTAGCCCTGGCTGTCCTGGAACTAGTTGTGTAGACCTGTGTGGCCTCTAGCTCAACAGAGATTGGCCTGCCTCTGCTTCCTGAGTGCTGGGATTGAAGGGGTGTGGCACCATACCACCCGGCTAAATTCTTTTTTTAAGAGAACACAAAGCTGGAAATGTAGCTCATTTGTTGGAGTGTTTGCAAGGTATGCCTGAAGCCTTGGGTTCCATCCCTGGAACTCTAGTTATGTGGGGTGGTACCTGCCTTTAATCCCAGCATTGGAAGTTATAGCTACATAGAGGGTTCCAGGTCAGCCTGGGCTGTATAAGGCCCTGTTTCAAAATAAAGGGAGATGGGAAGACCATACCAGTTTTCCAAATTCTGTATTTAGCGTGTGGTGATCAGAATTGTCTTTTTTATTTATTTTTTTTAAGGAAAGTGTAAAATATGAAATATGCTAATTCAGCTGTGTAATTTGTATATTTGCAAAGGACCATTTTGTGAGTAACAAAAAAGTCAATGTTTTCCTGAAGGGCACAGTTTCCCTATAGAGTTGATCTCCAAGCAATATTAGTGACAGCGCTCTATGGTCATATTCAGTAAAATTTGTACTTCTCACTTAAGTGTGCATGAGTTGGAAAGTGTGTTTACCACTCAAGGCTAGCATGTATTTTAATCATGTAATGACTTTCGATACCTTTAGAAACTTATTTACACTATGAAGAATCTTTCAGAATACTAAATGTCAAATTTTTTCGATTTTGGCCTCATGTTACTTCAGGACTAAAGTAATAAGGGACCTCCAGTTCTATGTGATTTTTGCTTCTGTGGGTGTTCTATGCATTATGTAATCACTTAGTAGTAGACTTCATTAACTAGATAAAGTTTTTTTGGTACTTAGTGAAATCTAGAGTATTTTACATTTATAGCAGGAGTGTATTTTTAGGTACACTACCATTTTGAGCTGCTCAGGTTTCAGGTGTTTAGTATTGATAAATAGTTGTTTTTTAATAATACAAATATGAGTTGTTTAGCTGCTTTTCAGAAATCAGATTTTGTTGGCTGGATACAGCTGTGAAGATGCATGTTTTCTGTCAGCAGATACAAGATAGAAAAGTAGCCATTTGTTACTTTTGCTAGGAATATTTTGAAACATTTTAGATAATTTGCCTTAAATTGGTAATATGGTGGATATGGTTTGGGAACATTTTAATTAGTTAACCTTTTCTATTCACCTGGATATTTCATCAAAGTGATAGTACATTGAAGTCTGGTGAAGGAAGAACTGACATTACCTTGTTTCTTTTTTATCTTTGTTCTTGAGACAGCTCTATGCATCCCTTGCTAGCCTGGAACTCTTGCCTCTGCTTCCCAAATGCTTGTATTAAAGGCGAATGCCACCATGCCCAGACCCGTATCTTGTGTGTGTTTTTTTTTTTTTTTTTTTTTTTTGGCTTGTGTGAATGGCTAATGCCTAGAAAGGAACTTGGACTGAATGAATTGCCTGTTAAGAGTAATTTTAGCAAGTTGTGTAGTTTATACTGAATAATTGAATTTAGGTTAGAGGTTATGGTGGCCGTGCAGGGGTTTTTGAATGTAGGGAGGGGAGGTAGAAGATCTAGAGTTGAGAATCTGTATAGAATGATAAATAAACTGAACAAGTCGCCCAGGTTAAAGTCTCTTAACTGTTTGTACATGTGTGCGCTTTAGAGCAGAGTGTATTTAGGTATATGGAAATAGCATAGAACTTGCTTATAGTAGAGGATTTTACTTAATTAATATTCCACACTATAGTGAAAATTTAAAAAGGAGCATTGAGAGTATTGAGGACTGACTTGGCATTGATTACCTTTTAAACAGTTTTCAGAATTTAGTTAGCTGTACTGATTTAATAAAAAAGTGTCTTAAGTGTCCGTCATATGTCTAAGAAAGGAAATGGTCCTTTGGGGAAATGTGACCTAGTAAATACTTTGCTATTTAAAACTTAACTTGAACTTCAGGGTTAGTGGAGTGTATTTCATAGGGTGATAGAGATCTTGGAATTGGGTTAACTTTGACTAAAGAAACAGGAATCTAGAAAATGTAACCTTGTTGAGTGCTCAGATTACTTATTGCTAGAAATACTGAAAGTGCTTTATCAAAAGAAAACAAAAATACCATTGGAGAGTTTGTTAAGTAATGTTATAATATTGAGCAAGCACCAGCAGTTCATTCATATTCAGTTGAATAGTTGAGAGAGGGAAGCTGTAAGTGGCTAGTGTTCTGACTGGAGGAAACACTTCATTCTATTTGTAAGAAAGTTTACAAAGTAAACTTTATAGGAAAATAGCATTTTGACCTGCTCTGTAGACACAAAAATACTAAGAATCTAATTATTGCATACAAAGTTACCTTTCTGACTCATAGTATCCAAGTGATACATAGCTGTGAGTTGTCTTTATTTCTAAATGCAGTAAGATGGGTTTTCTAATTTGTTTCACTTTGTTTTAATTGAACATTGCTTCCCTTCAGTTTTTATTTTAGATTTTAGTTTCCAATGTTTGCCCTGATCAATTTCTAAATGGCAAACCGACAACAGTTACTACCAAATCAGTTGTAAAGCTAACTATATGCAGGAGTTAAGGGTTTGTATTGCTTTGTGTATAGACAGGGCAGAACTGTTTAGACACTGAGTGGTGGCTCACTCTCCTGTAGTCTCAGTACTGGATTTCTGGAACAGCAGGATTGTTGATGAATTTTGGGCCTGGGTTGGGCTGAGTAAGACCTTGTCTCACACATAACAAAAAGGATACAAAAGTATTTCTTCCTGTTGGGTTGGGAGACATAGAAGTAACTATAATGAATAGTGATTCTGTGTAGTATATTCTGTGTCCCTTATTTTCAATTTAAAATTACCTTATAAAAATTTGGAAATTTTTTAAAAGTAACTTTTAGATTATGTGTTTTGAGTGTTTAACTCACGTGTATTTCTGTGTGTCAGAGGTCAGAAGAGAACATTGAATCCCCTGGAACTGGAGTGATGAATGCTTGTGAGCCTCTGTGGATGCTGTGAATTGAACCTTAACTGCTAAATCATCTCTCCATTTTGGGAATTGTGTTAATGGCTCTTATCCTGAATTACTAGATTGATTGTTGGTTTGAAAAAGCAGTATAAAGTAAGCATGCTGCACTCATCAAAACTGGGAAATAGTGCATTTTAGGGCTGTGAGTGTATTTTTCAGTGTTAAAGCATTAACTTGGCATGTATGAAATCCTGGGGTGCTTTTTCAATATCACTGAAGCACAAGTGCACTGAGGCAAAAGTGCGTGCACTCTCACACACACACACAGAGGGAGAGAGAACATTTATGATGTTTCAAGAATTTACATTTTTCTGTGCAGTGTTGGGAAGGATTGAAATTTTAGGTCTTGAATTTGCTAGACAAGCATTCTGCTACTGAACTACATCTCCAGCCCTAAACATGCTTTAAATGAGGTCCTGGGGTGGAGGCTGGTGCTGAACATGGAACAGAGAACAGTCTTGGATCTGGGGAATGATTCTGTTTTTTATAGAGGTTTGGCCTTTTTTTTTTTTTTTTGGTGTGTGTGTGTATGTATTTTTGTGTGCATATGTTCAGAACAGATGCCCTCTTTTGGCCTCCCAAGTCCTTGCAGCTGGAGTTAAGAGGTGGTTGTGAGCCACACAACACAATAAAAGTGCTGAATCCTCTGAAAGAGTAACAAATAATCTTCACCACTAAGCTAGCTTAGTCCTGGGTTTGACTTTTCTAGAGACAGTGATTATAAATGCATCTTGGCATTGAAAATTGAAATGAGCTCTGGTGG